TTACTTATAATCTGTTTAAGATCTTTATCTTCTAATAACTTCAAGGGTTCTATTTCGAGATCTGCTTTATTTGTGACAATTTAGGATGTGATATTAGACATCCGCTTTCAATGACATTAACTAAAAATGGATTTTCTGAAAATTTGTTAGAAAACTCGTAATCTAATCAAAACAAAATAATATTGAATTAGTTCGTTATTTGATATGTTTATCGACTTTGGTGTTATAATAGTACAGATCTTATCAAATTATATAAAATTATAAAATGTACAAATATTTTGGTTCTTGAAATCGTTGTATTTATTATGTGGCTCGCGAACATCATGTTGTCCACCCCTGGTATAATGTATAGTGAAAAACATAAAATTAATTTAATTTCAATCGATTTTAAATTACAACATTGAAAGATGGGTATGCACAAAACGAATGTGTAAATCATATTTTAAACTGATTTTTTTAGGGTTATATCACGACCACGAAAAAGATGATGAAAATAATTTATCTCGATAGAAAGTAAGAAATAAATTAAAACGTAAGGCTTTGGACTATCTGTATGAAAAGCCATGTAAGATCTTACATCGAGAATTACGTGAATCATATTAATTATATTAATAGCTCGACTACTATAGACACAATGCGAATAAAAAAAAATATTCACTTTGCACGTTCAAGCATGATTCCAAAGTTACCTAAGAATGTAGAAGAACTTTATTTCGCTCTAACGCCTCTAACAAATTTAGGTAAAATTTATACCAATATAGAGGTGAAATATTTTTGTTTATAAATAATTCAGAAACAAATATTGTAGTGTTAACAACACAATTCAACTTAAAATATTGAACTGAATGTGACGTATTATATGTTGATGGTACGTTTAAGAGATGTCCTAAGCTTTTTTATTAAATTATTCATTATTCACGGAGCTAAAAATGGCAATTATACTAGCTAATATTTTTTTATGAGCAGGGGAAACTACAGAAATATATAAAAATGCATTTTCCAATTTAACAAATAAAAAGTGAAATGAATTTTTTTATCTTGATTATTGTACTTAAGATTTAAATTTTTTTATCGAAACATGAGCCTATTAGAGCGCACAACAATTTTTTACTGTGATTTATTGAATTTTGATGATGAATTTTTTGATTATAAAAAACCGAAAAAATGTAATTATTGTGTATAAATACCAACGTTTATCGTTACATTATCAATACATTATTATTTATTTTATATATACATGATATCTTATACCTATAACTCATTTGAATTTGAACAAATAATTCTATTTGTGTATTGTGTGTAAAGTAAATTTTTTATTGAATTTTTAAATCAGACCGAGGTTAACCTTGGTTGATTGATCGCGCACGTAATCCTACTTTCTTAATTATCAATCCATTTATTTCGATCATTAATTAACTGTGCCAGTTTAAATTGTACAGATAATTTATATCATTTATAACTAAATTAAGTCCGTGTTGTAATAAAAAAAAGTTAATATTTATTGTACATTATCAGGTGCTAATAATATACAAATTGCTTGGAGTTGGTTAATAATAAATACAAATAAAATAGTATGGAAATAATATTTTTTAATTTACGTATATATTAAGAAAAAAAATTGTACCATTGTTATATAGTACCTATGAGAAAATTTGTAAAAAAAATGTGGAAAGTCTTCGCTGTTGAAGTATTGGATCAATAAATCAAAAATGTACACCTAAAAATTAATGGTTTATTGGTTTAACAGTAGTTAGTTACCTAATAATAAATAGGTACAATTCAGATACTGAAAAAAATCATGATGTAGGTACTTTAAATTATTAATTCTTTGTCAGGTGTATTCAACATCTTTTATTATATAAATTATAAAAAATAGGGGCAGCAGGACTATATAAGTATTATGTATTAATTGTATAACAATATTTTGTCTATGACATGGAAATTGTTAAATGTTTAGAAAATGTATATACTTGTTAAGGAGATTGTCCTTAGTAATTTCTCCGGCATCAACAAGTGGAAATACCCCTAATATCATTAAAAAGCTTATATTTATGCTTATATTTTTGTCTACATCTATTTTACAAAATGTTTATTTAATAAATATAAACATAGTATTAGTAAGTACATTTTTTATAAAATTAACTTTTATCTTCAAACCTACCTAGATAACAACAAATTTATCCAAGCAATTTTTTTTTGGACCTTACAAAAGCTTTTGATACAGTTGACCACAATAAGCTTATTAACATCCTACCAGGACTAGGAATAAAAAATCAAAGTTTGGAGTGGTTCAAAAGTTATTTAAAAAACAGAAAACAGACGGCATCAATCAATGGTATTTTTAGTAATGTATATGATATTTCTTATGGGGCCCCTCAAGACAGTGTCCTAGGACCAATACTTTTCATTCTTTATATTATTGACATGTATAATATTAATACAGAACAGTTGTTTCATACGCAGATGATATGTGTCTACTTTTTGCCAGTGATACTTGGTTTAGCATTTAACGTATAGCTACTGTTGAAGTAAACAAATTGTTTAAGAGATTATCCAAACAAAAACTGACTTTAAATATAAATAAAAGTGTATTTGTTACTTTCTCCATAAAAAATTTTTATGTGTGATAGACGATATTATTATACACTCTTGTGATGCAAATGATATATTATTAACATCCTGTAATTGCCAAAAAATAATTATAGTGACAGGGGTTAAATATTTAGGCTTAATTTTTGATGGTAACTTATGCTGAAAAATACATGTTTCGGATATAGTTATGCGCCTAAGATCTATCGTTTTCAAAATGTATAAATTAAACAATCTATTATCCAAAGAAACCATGTGTACTGTAGATAATGTGATATATAAATCTATTTTCCAATACGGTTTAATAGTTTGGGGATGTTGTTCTGAAAATTGCAATAAGGTCTATAGTTACACAAAAAAACATGGTTGTCAGAATATGCTTAAATGAAAATTTAAATGAAAAAAAGCAATTTGCCATATTATATGTTTCTAAAAATATTAGATTTACACAAATCAATGAACGTGAAAAAAGAGAGTATGATATCAAAGTTGACTATACAAAAAAAACATTTTGAAAAACATTTTCAGGACTATTTAGGTCCATCTAATTTTAATGCAAAGCAAACACATCTTAAAAAAAAAGTTTTACTTTAATATAAACAAAAAATTTGGGTATCAAATAAAATTTAACCTAATTGTAAAATGGTTGTTAAGTGAACTGTAATTTTAACCTATATTTTGTTTTTATATTTTATTTTTTTTAGTTGTGAATTCAAATACAAAATTGTAACATGTATAATAACAAATTGTAATATGTAATTTTTATAATAACTCTATCATCTTACCACGAGTATTTACAATTAAATTTTAAAAAATTGAATAAAAAAAAATGTATATAAATAATTATCAATTTATAAAACTAAATATTTTATATGTCTACATTTGCACTCTTTACTACATACTATTATTATTATTATTATTTCCATATTTATCTAACTGAATAATATCCCGTTGATTTCATCAATGAGGTTTTTTAGTTTACATTATTATTTAAAATGATTCATTAAACTGTGTAAATTCTACTATAATCATTGGTATTATTCAATTTGATTCTTAATAGGTGTCCATATATTGCATAAATTTTCATTTATTGAGCATTGACATATTTCACACGATAGAAATCAAAATCTTCATTATAGTCTCAGTTACATAAATATTTACATTTATTTAATTTCTAAAATAACATTAAAACAATTAAGAAAAATGAACACCTATACTTCAACACTAAGGCTTAAATCTAAGTTTTAGATACATATTTTTTTCATTATTAAGATAATGATATACCGGTATGAGTATTGAGTATCAAATTTAAAGGTAAGACATAATCTAGGTCCCCATGTAGGTTTTTTATATTTTAATTTCACAACAAGTTATGAACATTTTAACCATATTATTATTTGAATAATTGTGTTTCAAGTTTTCGACAAATTTTGTGTAAATATTAGCTTCAAATGCTTGTGAACAAAAAATCATGATTACTTATATAAAAATCTTGGTATTTTTAAATATCTCCAATAACCAGAATGAGAACCTTGTATTCATTTTTTTTAACTTAATTGTTTGATTATAATTATAAAAAAATCTTTGCAGTATCGATTATAGAAAAATATTGATGGCTACAATAGCTCAAAAAGGGCGATATTACATTTTTATAAATTATACTATGTTTAGGAAATGCTAAAATAAGCATTGAGTAATTATTTTGAGACTTGGAGTACTATACTTGTACTACTATATTTAAGATTATTTTTTTTTGTTGAATTTGAGTTTTTGAGTATAGAAATCAGATAAGGAGTGCATAATCGAAATGAGAACGAACAATTGACTGATAAGAAGTTTTTAAAGCAGATTCATTGAGATTTCATGTATCTTGCATGCATTGATGAATTAAGTGAAATTTTATTTTAGTAAATAATATTTATAAAAATAATTGATAAAACGACCCTAAAAAATTGGTAATTTTATGATATAAAAATATTGGTAGGTGCATATAATTTATTATGCAAACTATACAATCTGTCTACTTACAATCTGTCAACAACTATACATTGTACCCTACACAATGAATCGTACCGAACTCGCATTGTAATTTGTGATAAGTGTTTAAAATTTCAGACATTGTAAGTACTAAGTTAGATATAATCAAGGGTGGGCATTAACGAGGCAAACTATATTTAAAGGCCAATATTCTATAAAAACATCATTAGGGTATATTATATTCGATTAGTCTTAAAGCATGTGTACAAAATAAATTATACTCATATACATTGCTTGATGTCAACAATTAAAAAAAAAAAAAAAACCGGTTACCTATATTTTTTATTTTTGTATCGATAAAACTATAATTTAAAATAAATTAAAGTTAGTTATTATATTATATTAGGTGTAAACAAAAAAAGTGCATAAATTATAACTTTTTTATAAATTCATTTAAAATAATATAATGATTTATATTTATTTATTTGCAAATTTAACATTGGAAATATAAGATGCATAATTAGTACAATAAATTTGCTCTGCTTCTTTAAGCATACTTGAGACGGAGGTGAGAGCTCTTATGATTACATAAAAAAAGATAACATTTTTAAAATATTACATATTTTAAATATATAAATATACTTACATACGTATACATTATCTATAAACAACGATTGATAGTAACTTAAAGGAAATTTAACTTATAAAGAATATAGAAAAGATATATGATAAAGAATTACCATATATACCGTAACTAAATTGACTTGAGTAAGGCATTTAAAGCTACAGCATGTCCTTGTTCTATCATTTTATTGACTAACCATGAAGCCATTTTTTTTGTCTAAAATAAAAACAAAATGTTATTAAATATTTAAATAATATAAACAAATATTACAAACAATTCACCGTCAGGCTGTAATATTTATTACTAACAATATTGATGTAAACCTATATAATATATATAAATAATGACATTTCTTATGGTCAGTGTTACTTTCAAAACCTTTGACAAATTTAATATCAATGAACCTATATTTAGATAATTATTTACAATTAGTAAATATAACTTAGTTATATCATGCAATTTACGACCAACACAACTTTCCTGTTCAAGAAAACCAAATGAAGTAATATAAATTTAAGTGGCGATAATATTGATTAAATACGTTCTTATTGGTTTTCATTATTAATAATAAATCACATTTAATTTGAAAAACCAAATATAAATCATATTAAACTATATAGTTTATGATAAAACATAGCCCCAAACAGATTTATTATGTGAGATTAGCTTTAATTTTTTGTTTTAAGTATAACATAACAATTTATTATAATTTATAAACAATAATCCAAAAATCAAAATACATTTTAATTATTATTCATTTACCTATGTTTAATTTGAAACATGCATGATTGGAAGAAAAAAAATGTTTAATTTGTACCCAATTAGTAATTGTAAACTAAAACTGTCAATTTTCTACTTTCAACTTGGAAGTTTGTTGTCCAATTTCAAATAAATGTTATAAAAAATGTTGCATACAATTATTTTAAATTATTATAGATTTGTAAAGCTAAGGTTTAAAAATGTAATACTAAGTCTTTCATGCAAGTAGCTCATACAATATACCTACTTTTGGAAAAACAAATTCAACCTACCTAGGTATATGTTATTAGTTATTGGTTATGTTATTGGCTACATTTCAGTAAGATGTACATGAATTTATGTCTTCACTTACTAGTTGTAACTTGATATAAACAATTTTTTTAAGTTATAATAATACGGGCATGTGGGCGTTGGGAATTTAGCCCAAAAGCCTCCCTCCTGAGTTCACTACTGGTTTTTAACTCATATTAATATTTTGCTTTAATTACCTGACAAAAAAATCATAGCTTGTCCAATAGTCACTCCTAGATAAATTTTCATTAAAATATTGTATTTATCTTCTTTGTTATTGCAATTAACGTAGTATTGTCTCACATTATCCAATGTTTCTTCTTCATGTTTTAATGTTAGGATGACAGACATAGGTGCAATAGCATTAGCAAACATCATGGCATCTTCTGAGTATGTGGATGAAAAAAAAATCATTTGACATGTTTCTGGTAGTATATTAACAGAGACGATGATGTCATCCTTTCGCGACCATATTATTATTCATTTTTATCCACCCATGTCAATATTATCGTATGTTATGATATTTCTTAAAAGTATCAAATAATGTAAATAATAGTAATTGTATAGGAACAATAGAAAACATTTTGAATTTACTTTTTTTTTATATTTCACAGGCGCAACGTGCAACGGAGCGATTTTCAACTGCTGCTTTTTCTTCTTGTTACGATAGGTGTATAAGTTGGGTCCTCTAGGGTCGAAACCAGGGTTTCATCACAAGGTTTCCATCAGTGATGAACTCGAATGGAACCACTCTTAAAGTTCCCCTGCCGAAATTCTCTTTGTTCACCGCTCTGACGTCGTTGGAGTTGTCGTTGATCGCGTTGTATGGCGGCGGCGGCGTTCCCCACGTCGTTGTCGCTGTCGTCGACAGCATCGCACCAGATGCATTTGGGCCCAAATAACTCTGCCAGTCATCATCACCAGAATTTACATAGGTACTTGGATCTGGGGTAGGATCTATCCAAGTACCTGTCATTTGATCGTCTGAAACAATATAATAGGAGAGACAAATATTATCATTGATGATTATCGTGACGACATAATTATATTGTAACACAAAATATGAAGTTTCATAATTGATTCTGTTTAATATTAAAAAGCCAGAGTTTTGTTTTCGTGTCAGATCCTCGGAGTTGAGACCCGATTAATATTTGCCATATTACTATCCGTCATACCTGCGTATCATATATTATTATTGTTTCTAGTTCGATAATGAAGACGGAAAACGGTCATAATACAGCACTCCACCTACTTCAACTACCGTACTGTAAATAAATGTGCAGGAGCCTCATTGTATTTTAATTACTTATAAGTAAATATTGTTATGATCATTTTAGTACAAATTCCAAATTCGGACATATTATTTTTAGAAAGGGTACATTATAAATTGGCTATAATATTGGTCACATAGCTTTATTTGCTGTTATACAGTCCTAATATTGTACGTTCTATCACATTAATATTGAACTTTACGAAGCGTTACAACTCGGACCACCCGAACGCCAAATAGGCAGGAATGATTCTTTTTTTTTAGTATTTTATTTACTTGTGTCGAGTGCTGTACAACAGAACCTATCTATATACGACTCCGGCTATTTTTTTTTTTTTTTTGGGACAAAATCTCCGAACGACATTGTTAACATCATAAAGTTAATCCCTATCTGGAAAACATCTTTAATTCTTTTGAATAACCGCTGTCAGACTTTTTTAAAATTAATGGCCTCTGCTGCGAAATTAAACGTAGCCATAGGTTGGCGCGCTGGGCGGCAGGTTTGGGTACTTTCATCGATGAAAATCAACAATATTAAATAATATAAAGTATTGGTAAAATGTCACGAAAAAAAATGGCGCAGTACGAATGTATTGGTATCTGAGTAACTATGTTTAATCGCCGATATCGCTCCTACAAATAGGCGGTTGGCGATACCGACTAGCGGTATATTTAGGAAAAGGTTGCCCTCCCGGTGAACAAATCTCGCAAACAAACAAATTGGAATTAGGTGTAAAGCGCTGAGCGCATAAATATAATAAATACGGATAATAATAATGAAATCGGGCACCCTTAAATCTTACAGCTAAGAAACAAAATTGGCTCTAGCCATCTAAACTAGAGACGGCAACTCGAAACATTGTGTCGTCATTGTGCAATTTAAATATTAATTCATAAGATGTAACAAAAATAACATGCACAGCCAGGTAACAACAAATTTTAAAAGTGGCAATACAAAAATGTAACCTGACGGTCTCCACAGAGTCGTCTGGATCCACACACGGCGCAAAATTCCGCGCTGAAACGGCGACAGTGGTCTTGGCGGACGGCAGGGCGTGAATAATCAATGCTCGGACGCTTGCGGTCTACGGCGGCCCCACAACAGCGAATCGCGGTTATAATGCTTGACGCGAGCGCCAACGACGGTTGATGGCCGACGAACACACCGTCAACACAACTTGACTACGAGGTTTTCGGCGGCCGACGTGCGACAAACCGTCACGACAACGCAGCCAACGACAAGCGGTGTTCGCTCCGGCGTTAAGACCCACAAGGATGGTCAATGACATCGGCACGTACAAAAAACGGGTTGCGCGGAATTACATGTATATACAATTATGCACGCGGTTGCAGAAACAGTACAGTACGCCGACGCGAAACAAAATACGGTACGTAATCGTCGCGCTGACGTGTAGAGGCAGAGCCAAAAGCGACGACGACGGCCGATGAACCAAACGCCGAGCGCGCCATGTTCGGGAACGACAGGTGCGCCGCAACCGGCAGGCGGACTTACCGACAACTTGTGCACCGGTTGCGCCACCAACGGGCGCGTTGCAAACCCGCACCGGTGGTTCACCGATCCGCGTACGAACAAACTATCACATCGGAGATGTAAAGTAAACGATTTATACAGAAAAAGTATAAAATTATTTTATCTTTGAAATTCGATTATACACAAAAACAAAAACTCGTGACTTTTATAGTATCAATAACAAAACTTTGTAGTTGTTTGTTGTTCCTCAACAATTTGATAAAAGTAACTCAACAGGTTTTCCCGTGTATCCGACGAAATGCTCAAAACTCAAAAATTAATAATTTAAATTTCGTAAAAAAATAATTTGCAGATGATTTCCTTAAATCTTACGAAACTGGCTTTTAAGTGTGATAATATAGATAGGCCAATTATTGAATAATTTTGTTATATAATATTAAAGCTAAAATATATGGTCGGTTCTGTAGAACAAACATTTTCCCATTGTGATACAGTTGTAAAACAGATACAACAACAAATAAACATGTCATGGTGATACGGTATCATCAAAATAATACAATAAAAAGTCCGAAAATAATGACGTCGACAGTATTGAAATCGAAAATATTTCAGCAGTATTTGTTCAAAAAATAATTTAGTCAAAAATAATACAAAATATATTTACTAAATTCTATTGCATAACACTAACTTCTACTTAAGCCTACAAATATTTTATCCGAACTGTATAGTAGACGAAAAGTATGCTGTCTGCTAAAATAAACGAAAAAAATGTCATGAGATGCAGTTTGGACACAATATTTTCGGATCTTTTACGAATTCAATAACCAAGTATTGTAATTACCTCGATCCATGGAATCGGCGGCCCCTCCGTGCCACGTTTCTAGACCATATGACGGGCCGTAATTCTTCCTGTAATTGTTGATCACGCACTATTTGGTAGTCTCGCACTACAAGTTACAACTATCAACCTATAACAGTCAAAATCTGAGCCAACGAGAAAAATGCGAAAAAAAAATGTCGACTGAACTGCGGTTCAGACACAATATTTTCTAATTTTTATGCTGCAAGCATTGTACTTACCTCGATCCGCCGCCTCTTCGGGCCACGTTTCTCGACCTTGTCGGTAATGATGGCTGTGGTTGCAGCTGTAATGATTCATGATTATCCAGTTCAACACAACTGGACACTTCATCTTCACTATCAGAATCAGAGAAAGGACTTTGACTGTAGTCGCCGTCCTTCAATATTCCTGGCATTTTGTGTGTTGTGAACGACGAACGTATGTACTCTTCTGCAATTGCATCAATACTGGACTCAGTGTTGCCAGATTTATAAACTAGTCACACGCCAAACTTCTCTGATAAAAACGCCATTTATCGCCATAAAAAAAAAATGTTTATTAATGTCATCTATCGCCAAAATTTAGAATATGTAAATGTCAGTTAAGCTATAATGATCTTCTAAAAAATATATTACATTTATTTTATTCTCTTAAATCGTGAGTTAAACCCACCTATAAGTTACTTATTTATATTCATGGAAACTGTTTTTTTTTTAATTCCATATTATATATATGTACAAAAATTTATTTTCTATATACGAATGTCGAATAACGATGTACCTACAACGGTTGTAGTATAAGGTACAACACTACAACCTACCAAGTAATAACCAACAACATAATATTGACAAACTAGGTATTTATTTAATTTTTTGTATTAATACATTATGACAAAAAAAGGTATGAAATTATTAAAATGTGTAATATTTATAGTTAATTAATTAAATTTTAATTAATAACAGTAGTCAGTTGTTACTTATTAGTAACTATTAAAAATTAAAAATTAAAATACGAGTAATACAAACATATAAAAATACAATAGTATAATAGTACAATTATTTAGATTAAGTAATATTGTTAGTCATAAAAATCTGGTAAACTTATTTCATTTACAATATCAACTAGTTCATCTGTCAACAATTCTTCATTTATCACATTATTTACAGTATTTACATTATTTACACATTTGTACATTATTTCAGAATTAAATTTATCATACATCAATTTAGATGGGGAAAATGTAGTGCAACATTTGTTCGTAGAAATGAATGTACATTTAATTCTTATAAAGTATCTAACATTTTAGTATTTATCCTATTTTTAGCCTTAGTTTTAACAGTATTCATAATAGAAAAGATCCTTTCTACAACGGCATTACTTGATGGTAAGGAAAGGATTTTAAGAACAAATCCTGCTAATTCTCTAAACGCATAATTACCTCCAGCATCTTGATAATTGTACACTTAAGGCCAATATTTGTGACTATCGTGTAACTCCTTTTCATTAAGGTACATTTTCCAGGTAACAGTTATCAATTTATCCCACTGCGTTCCCACCAAAATAAAATCAGTTTGATTTAGAAATATATCAATGAACGGCAAATCACTAAAGGGTGTATTTATTTGATTCAAGCATTGTGCAGGTGAAAATAATTTTATAGTCAATTGTGCATAGAAATTCTTCAGATGCTTTAGATACGGCATTATTTAAGGAGTGGCAAATACATCTAACAATCTGTAAGTTTGGGCTTTTTTGTTTTGAACGAGTAAAAAGAGAATGGAATTTTCCACTCAAATTATTTGCCCCATTAGCACTTATACCAATTATATTTGTTAAATCTAAATGTATTTCATCCATGAATTTACAAATATAATTATAAAGTGATTCAGCTGTACAACTAACAACTTCAATAATACCTAAAAACTGTAAATTTATAGATTCACTTTTCACACTAAAATATTTAATACATATGCATGGGTATTTGAAAACTGAAACATCAGTCGATTCGTCAACAATCAGAGAAAAATAACTGGTACCGATATCTTGGACGAGTTGCTCAATTAAGGATGGAGCAATGACATATTTGATTAACGATGAACATTTTGTTCTACATAGTTTTAAATTACCAAGAGTTGTACCTTTTCCAATTATTTAAAGTATTTCACACATGATTTATACTTTTAATTGCAGTGTGAGTAGCTATACAAACAGCTAACTTTAAATCGATTGTTTTTTGTTCATTAGTAATAACAATATTACTTAAAATAGATTGCTGATTTCTTACAGAATTTAATAACTTATAAATTGTGAAGTTGATTCCCCTACCCTCCTATCTAAAGTTTTTTTTAATATTCCTACCTTTTGTTCCAGATACTCTTTCCCTCTTGCGCATTCCTTTTAGCCACTGTAATTATTTATTAAATCGCCCTGATGTCCGTATGATGAAACTGGCCAATAAGAACCCTTAATTTCTTAGTACTTGGTATATCTCAACAACATCACCATCCATCATATGTAACGATTTTGGTGTATAATCATCAGCGATTCGTATACAATCATACACAAAACGCGAATCATCCTTATTAATAAAACCCAATTTTTTGCAGTATGTTGTTTTCATACAAACAAATGTTACATCAGGTTTCAAACGGAAATGTACTTCGTTGGTCCTGGCGCTAGTTGTGACACGTATACTAATGTATTCGGCACAATATGTAACTACAGATTCATTGCCAGCTGCTCCTCTCTGATCGGCTGCAACTGCAACGCTGGTGCCACTTGTGGATGGCAAATTGTAGGACTCTTCTTTAACGGTCGACATTTTTCTATAATAGAATTACAGCCAATAGAAATAATAATATGTGGAAGTGCGCATAGAAATATACTAAAATATTTAAGATGTTCTAGTATATAAGATTTAAAATTGAATTAAGTTCGTTCATTTAGGTTTTTTTTATTTATACAATAATTATACTTATAGTGAACAATTTAAAACAATTACCTTGCATAGTTCCAAATGAAATCGAATTCGATCGAATTTTATGGCGTTCCGCAGTACAATAATATTATGACTGAAACAGAAAAATTGCTAGACGTTTCGAAAACGACGGAAAACTTGGCAGTTATTAATTTAAAAACATTTATTAATGTTGTAATTGTTTTAAACTTTTTACGAGTGACTAGGCAATGATGGCGTTTTTTTATACGAGCAGCCATTTTAAAGGCAATCAGGCTGTTATTGAAAATAAATTCATTGTAAATCCCAAGGTTTAAACTTAACTTTATCAAAAGTTGCTGAAGTAGTTCCAATTGGAAATTCTTTTGATATTCTTCAAAAAATTCATACTTTTTTTAATTCACAAAAACGTCAATTATGTCCTTCAACCTCATCTTCAACATAATCTTGAAACATCAATTCATAATCAACTCATAAACTTAAAAGAGTTCAGTGTACATTTTTGAAATTTGTCACTATCCCATTAAGTGTAGGGTGCGCGCCTTATGAGTGTGAACCAGTGTTGCAACGTCTCCATTTGTCTACCCTATGTGATGTAAGGAAACAAGGCAATCTAAAGTTTTTTTTAAACTTATAAATGGTGAAGTTGATTTCCCTACCCTCCTATCTAAAGTTTTTTCCAATATTCCTACCTTTTGTTCCAGATACTCTTTCCCTCTTGCGTATTCCTTTTAGCCACTGTAATTATTTATTAAATCGTCCTGATGTCCGTATGATGAAACTGGCCAATAAGAACCCTTAATTTCTTAGTACTTGGTATATCTCAACAACATCACCATCCATCATATGTAACGATTTTGGTGTATAATCATCAGCGATTCGTATACAATCATACACAAAACGCGAATCATCCTTATTAATAAAACCCAATTTTTTGCAGTATGTTGTTTTCATACAAACAAATGTTACATCAGGTTTCAAACGGAAATGTACTTCGTTGGTCCTGGCGCTAGTTGTGACACGTATACTAATGTATTCGGCACAATATGTAACTACAGATTCATTGCCAGCTGCTCCTCTCTGATCGGCTGCAACTGCAACGCTGGTGCCACTTGTGGATGGCAAATTGTAGGACTCTTCTTTAACGGTCGACATTTTTCTATAATAGAATTACAGTCAATAGACATAATAATATGTGGAAGTGAGCATAGAAATATACTAAAATATTTAAGATGTTCTAGTATTCTACAAAAGATTATGATGTTTATAAGATTTAAAATTGAATTACGAAGTTGATTCCCTATCTCCTATCAGTCCTATCTAAATTGCTTTTCAATGTTCCTAATGTTGGTCTAAATTATTATGCTAGTCATTATAAATTAATATTATCTACTACACTTCACAGTTATATTGAAACTTATAATATTCTTGAATATAACTTGGAAAGAAAATAACTGATGGGCGTCATTTTCTAAAAATGTTGGTACAGTCTTAATTAAATGTGCCATCACATCCTGTTACTTGGACTTAAAAATCCATAATAATAATTCATTAAATAACATTTATATACATTATTGATTTGATTATTGACCAACATTTCTCAAATCTGGTTCAATTGCGTTTGTATTGGCTACATTACAAAAAATGACTCCACTCACGGTTCCCTCTACCAGCAATGGACCTTGATAAAACCTATTAAAATGGTTTGTTTTATTTCTTTTCTTATGTTTTGTGTTTAATAAATGAAAATAATTAATATACTCTAACCTGTTAGGAGGATTTTGTAGTGTCATTGCAAAACATTTATTATCAGCAGGCGTCAATAAATCGTGGAAATTTGCCATGTTTCGTGGTGTCCGAGGGAAAAACGTACGTCTTTAACGCCGCACCCTCTCTACACTCTGTAGAAATGTATAGTTCTTTGCAGCCTCTGGAAAACTAAATCATCCAAAACAAGTGTATATAGATATCAAAACTAACCATCACCTATGCATAGTTGCATATCATTTGTAAAAACTGTACAAAAAAAACTAGTTTATAGGTAGGTACTAACTTTACAATTGCTTGCATATAAATTCCACGTGGAGTTATATGAATTTATTGTTTTCTCTAAAGCTCTCTCAGCCTTTCGAAGCAGTGTAACATTGAGGTTGGACTCTCTGACACCATGACAATGGCGCTTTGACAGTGTCAACCTAATGTTGGGAGAACAACCATTTTCCCCAACATGCATCAGATTTGATTGTCGCATATTGTCTACTAAGATGGCTGTGTTGCACTTATAGCCGATCATCGTCGTTGACCGCAATCCACCACAGGTGGATTGCCAACCAGGGTGGCTTAATTCTACTCATAGCAGCGAGTTACACCCAAAAGGAGTTGAGCAATCACAGTATTTTCAAGAGTTGTCATTTTTTATGGGCAACGGAGTGCCCCGGATCTGAAGCGCACAGGGGTCGGCTATTAATTATTATAAAACTAACTCTAACTGGACAACCTACGTGCTATTATTTTCGTTTGAAAATTCACGTCGTTTATTTAAGGAATGTTTTTAGGGAACGGAAAAAAGAAAGAAGGTAAATAATAAACATCTGATTTAAGAATTTCATTTAGAGAAAGCAATAACTACACACGAGCGAAGCCGGGTTCTTCAGCTTGTTAAATATAATTATTATCAAATAACATTATAATTATCATACCTGTAAAACAGACTAACCACACAAACAAAAAAATTATTGCACACATTTTTTGCTACCTTTCGACCCGGGTCTTTATCATTTTGCGGACAACTGCCCCCGACCCGTCGCCCAGGCCCTCATCCAGTTCGCAGGCGTATACCGTCGCCTTGGTAGCAGCGTCAAGCGCTCTGTCGGAGTCGGTGGCGGTTGAGCATGGAGGGGTTTTCGGCGACTTGTAGCCGTCTGCTTTGGTTGGGATCTCCATGATCTTCTTTTTGGATTTGATTTCCTAGGTGGGAGAGTTTGCTTGCTTCCTTTTGAACTACGGGTTGTTGATCTGATCGGTTTCCATGTCCCAGCTATCAGGAACGTCTGGGTTTGACATCGTGGCTTCCTAACCTGAGAAAGGAGTGGGGTCACGAGGTGAAAGGGAAAATACAATTTTTTTTTTTGGGGGGGGGGAGTTATTTTTGTCAGGGGTACCTCGTCCGGGTAGTGCTGTTGGGCCTTGTGCCCGAGTTCTAGGGTCGTCGGACCTTTTGCGCCGGAGTTATGGATAGCTTTGTAAACGGGGTGAGGGGAAATTTTCACGTGGTGGTAGGGTTTCAGGAGTCGTGGGCTTTTATCCGCAACGCTCTCGGAGCGCTGGTTGTCGCTCACCGTCGTTTTAAAATTTTATTCGACCGACGCGATCGTGGTGGCAACTGTCGGCGGTCGCCACGGGTATCGCGGTTCTCCGACCGACGCGATCGTGGTGGCAACTGTTGGCGGTCGCCACGGGTATCGCGGTTCTCCGACCGACGAGAGCGCGGTGTCGGTATCCGGGCGGCCGTGCTATTTGGCCGTATGATATGTGAAATCGCTTACCCTTGTCGTATATGCTTGATTTTTGAGGTACAACACCGCTGATGGTATTGGTAGATGCGGGGTGATGTTGCCGATCTTACGGTGCCAAGAACGGGTCTGGTCGCGCACGATCAGGGATCCCGTGTGAGAGCGCGAAGGACGCTGCCGTTTGGGCGTCGTTGCACGCTGGGATTTGGCCCTACGTTCCCGCGCGAGGTCTTAATCTCTTGGTGTTGGCCTGCTGAAGAGTTTAAGACATCGAACGCGACAATCGGACTTTGGCGAACGAAAATTTTTTGGCCGCGGGCTGCGGTTTTCAGCGCACTTCAGTCGCGATTTCTCAGCCACGGCTACACGGATTTTGGCGCTCTAAGGGAGTCGAAACGAAGCGTTGTGCCCTAGAATTATTCGGATCGGTTTGGTGTTTCCGAAGAAAAACGGCTCGGGAGGAAAAAAAAATGATTATGTGTACCTAACTCACTTAAAAATAATAAAATCGACAAAAGCTTAAGCGGGCTCCTAAATAATTATCTTTCCTTTAATTCTTATATAATAGGGCGATTCACTCCAATATCAAAACTAACAACACACTATTGAAACTGGTGAAGGTAAATTTGAAATTTTCTATGCCTCACTTGTACAAGACGGAGACAATACTTGTGGGGTTATTTATTATCCAGAACTTTCGAAATCGTTACTACATTTTATTGACTTTTATTAATTTTTCATTTTGATTTTCAGCAATCACAGGCCCAACTTTTAAGGTCTCGAGTCGGCCACAGCCGATTTGTGATGACCCAGCTTATAAACATGCGACGGGTAACATCCTGCACATAATTCAGAGACTTAGTCGCTATAATATAGGCAACAAAAACTCACACCATGGCTCCATCCATATAATATATTATATAGTTTATTTTATGCAAGGTTTTGTCATTAGTCTTACTTGCTATACAATTTATAAGTCCCCTTGAAACCTCGAAATACCAAAATCACGAACTTAGAATATTGTATGGTTTGGAAACGAACAGACGGGCGAGTGACGGAGAGCCAGGCCGCTTTAAAGCTTAAGACTTTAAGCTTGGGTTGGCAACTGTTTTTTTTAACGATTGTAACTATAAATTAATTTTATCTTCTAAGACGAATATGTATCTATCATAATATAATAATATTTATTTTGAAACGTCCTTTACATCCTATATATAAAATAATATACACTAAACACACACTATATAAGGATATTGAGGATTGGCCAATACAAAATAAACACACACGACCCTTTTCGGCCTGTACAAATTATTACTTTTTATTAAAATGACACACGGCAGTTATAGTTATCATCAATACGAGCTAACTCCCCAATACATTAAATACACATAATTTGGGCACAGATCTATTTAAACACTAAGTGGTTTTTGCTTGATGAGTTTACCTCATCTCTGTGTTGACAGACACAGGAAAAGAGTAAAGACACTTGTTAAACTATCACTTCTATATTTACGAGCCTATAATAGGAAATAGTGTATTAATTAACACTATATAATCAATAATCCCGGTCGCATAACAAAGCGTTTAGGGTTCGATACCGTGAACCAGGCATAAAATACAAAATAACTACAAATAAGATTTTGAAAACCTCTATTCGGCACACTTGTGTGTCTAATCAATGTGTATCAATGGTAAATAATAATGCGTACCACACCGGTGTTTGATTTTTTAAAATTTTTTTTTTAATATTTTGCTTTTTGTACTGTTTCATAAATGCATCATAGTGCCTATACGTTACACATACATTGGTGTAATTTATTATATAGGTTATGAATTTATGATGGTGTAGACCGCCGATTGCGTCTTATATCTGTCAACAACCGGCTGTCAACTTAAATGTACCTACATTCGAACGGACAGACGTAAATTGCGCCCAAAGACGGGAAAAAATTGTTAATCGCGTCTGATATTTTCCAGGTACAAATTTCTATGCAGGTAGTTAATAGAAATATGATTATTTCTATAGCCCAATTTTTTACGATGGTCATTTAGAATTAGCATTGCCCGCAGAGGACACCAAGAGAGGCGACAATCACTGTCCTCCAAAAATTATTTTGTGGTTTACTTGAAATAAATAAATATAAGTTAATAAAAATAGAGAAAATTAATTTTGTTTTGAAATAAAATAATGAAGGATTAATAAGTTATTTTAAATCTGTTTTGTTATGTTAATTTATGCAGTAAATAATAATAATAATAATAAGTGGCTTGGTGAGGCATGATCATACGCTCAATCTGCGGCGACGCTCTGAGCGTACATACCGAGCGAGCCGTCGTCGTTAGCATTCGGATGGGTGACCACTAGCGTTTTTAGCAGCAAATCCTTGAAACACATACAAAACTTATTCCAACCAATCGCTCCCCCCACACAGTACCAGGCTAATGACGTTAGTGGTTGAAGCTTTAATCCAAATAATTAAAAAATCTGGTAATTTGTACAATATAGAGTTAATACGATTATAAGTTAGGCTTATCCGACAATAAATGTACAACAGTATTAATATAGATAATAGATATCGATGAATTCAAGGTCATTTAGATACTAACTGCAATTTACTATACCTATTTTAGAAACCACAAAATCCTGGGTTCAATTTATCATAGTATTTTAATTACCTGCTCAATGTGAGCTCAATTTATAAGCGCCCACGTACGAACAGTGTGTATGTTTATGCGTACCGAACGTTGTATACATGCCAACTTCACTTTGCTCATAAACACGGTCTCGTAATTATTATAAACTCTTACTTATATAGACTCAAGGCATAAGCACTATGTACTAGTATTATAAGCAGAGAAGCAACTAGGATTATTTACGCCTGGGGAAATGCTAAAATTACGCCCAATCATAGGCCAAAAATACTGAAATACCCTTTCTACATTGTATTTTTTATAACAATAAGCAAAATAAGTAGATGTACAATTAAATGTATTTATTCAAATATTCAGTAACCATTGGCGAATATTTTGGTTATAACATAAAAAAATAATATTTCAATTTTGTATCAACTAGGTATAAATTATTTTAAGTATTGAAGTTCCAATTATATTAAAATTCCGTGTAGGATTTTATTTTAAAGTAAAACTATTACTTGTTAAACTTTTTTGTACATATAAGTACTTAAATACGTAATTATTTGTGCATATAGTATCGTACTACTATATACAATAGAAACCCCATTTTTGTATGTAGGCGCATAACTCAAAAAGTACCTAACAAAATTCACTTTAAAAACAGAAAAGATTTTTAAATTAAAATTCAGATCATTATTACAACTACTTGTCATGTACACACAAAAAATAAAATAAAATACATCATTGTAAAATTATTATATCTAAGAGATGTAAATTTAAATTTAAATGTATTTACTATATATTTTTTTGTGTAATATTCAAAATTTAAAATCTTTAAAATTAGAAAATGTCTTTTTTTTTCGTATAATGATAATTTGGAAATTCTTGGAAATTCATTGTTCATTTTAATATATTTTTAATGCATATAAATTGTAGTCTTCATTTAAATTTATAAACAGTATGTCCACAGATTTATGGAACATTAAACTTCTCTGTCAGATTAACATAGGATTTAATTTTGACTTTTTGGCAGGCTAAAAGTGGAGGTATCGACTTCACATTTATGGTAACATTTAAAATAACAACATCTATTTTTGATAAGTTCTACATTTTTGTATTTATCAGCCTTCTATTTAAATTACTATACAATCAAAATCAAAAAGAATAGAATGAAACCCATCTTAAAATAAAAAATAATTACATTTTTTTCTTATGTTAGTGATTTTATTTTCATGTTATGCAGTAACTTATGAGTCAATTAATTTTATTGTCAAGTGTCAAAATTAAATACCAATCGTAAATCAAACTTCCAAATGGAGTTTTATATATATTACTCATAAATGTACCTCAACAGTGACAGCTTTTTTTACTATTCATAAATTTTCAGATAATTATTGTTTTATATTTAAAAAATATAATTAGTACAATTATATACATAATAGACATACATAGAATTGGACACACTAAACTAAATCATTTATTTCTCACATCCAAAGTAAAACCCACCACCTGTAGCTCACAACTCACTGAGAAACATATTTTAAACTTTAAAGTAGTATCATCTGTACAAACAAGAGTGAATAAATTTGAATTTGACTGAAACTTTCTATGCAACCCTCGGACTACAACGGGAATAAAACAAGAAACTCCTAAAATTTTTAAAATTAATCAATCTAATTGACAAAGTATAATTCAATTGATAAACCAATGCAAGTTATATACTCGAAACTTGTTTAGATCTCAACATGAATAGAGTGTAGTGTATTATTTATTTCACAATCAAAGTGTAATTTTAGTCTATGGTTTATTAAATTTAATTAAATCTGTTTTGATTTTTACTAAATGGTTTAGATTATGTAGAAATTGTGTTGAATTTGACTCAGACGCTCTCATTATGTTTTTGAATTTGTTACTCATAAAAACCAATTTGACATTTATTGTTTAGTATTTAATCTTATAATGAAATTAATATTTGGCATTAGCCGTGGTTGTTACATAGAAAATGTACCTTATTGTGTTTTAATTATGTAATATATTTGTTTGAATGCAAAAAGTTATAAACATAAATCATATGCAATATTAAATAAATGCATAATATATACTTCTTCACGGAAGGAACCATTATTGAACAATTCAATCTCAGAATATCGTCAACATCATTATTACATCCCAAATTAAAATAATTATCAGCCACCAATATGCAAGTAACAATAAATATTATTAATATAGTTAAGAAAATGTCAGCACTATTTTTTTTGATATAGTGGTATAATTAAATTGTATTATTTTTGTAATCATATGATAAAGTTTGAGATTAAAATACTGCATAACAGAGTTGAATATGGCTAGTTGAAAACTACAATCGATTATTTATGAAAAATTATCAAATTTAGTTGCTTCTACATAATTTTATCATTATTCTCATAAAGCTCATTTCTGTGGACAAAATTACAATGACACGATGGCAATGTATAATTTAAACAAATGAACAACATAAAACCTAAAGATTAAAGTCAAGCCTATAATAAATAATAATAAGCTCTTTTTGGTAATTTACATAATTAAAACTCTGTTTAAGTGAGTTAATTTGTACAATTTTTTATAAGTTATCATTAGTTATTATTTACAACATGGTGGATTAGTAAGTTTTAACATTGAAAATCAGTACTAAAATGAATACTTATCAATGTTTTCAAGTATCGCTTAATTGTTTCAACTAATTTATTGCACTATAAAATCTAAATTAAAAATATTAAGAATATTAATTTATATTGTAAACCGGGCATATGACAGGTGTGATAACTGTGTAAACAGTCGTTTTGTCCCCGTCATTTGATAAGGTGGGACATTTTGCCCCAGGGAGTTATAGACGTACCTACATAATTTTAATATGGTATTGACATTTTAAATTTAAAATAAAAAGCGATTGAAATATCGAAAAATAATTATGCAAATGCATTTGAATTCTATTTTCATATAGTTTATAACTAATTTAAATTGTATTTTTTAAAAAAACAATTTGAATGATGACAATATGGGTACGTAGGTAATATATTTTATATTTTAGAATTTTTGTAGTTATTTAGTATAAATTATAACAACATTTTAAGTTTTATTAAGATAATTCAATTTTTAAATAAATATTTTTTAAAATTCTTTTTGACCAAACGTCGTATCTTATTGACGGGGATGAAACACTGAATTTCATGATCCTTGACATACAAATACAACAACGATCTCCATTGCATCAGCTCCTAATGACGCCGACGGCCACTCTGCTATTTCGCTCGTCCTGCGATGTGTAGTGTGGACAACTCGATTTCTCCGCACTAGGCCTACCTTTTATTTGTCATGTGAACTGCGAACACCTCCAGGCTAGACGTGTCTCAATATCAACCGACCTAAAATAATGTAAATATTACACGCGATAGAAACTGTGGATTTGTTTTTACTTGTTATTGATATAGAAATATTACATTGTGGTTTTAAAATTATTGATATTTCAGAATAATGTAAAGAGATATTACAGTCTATGCCAACCCTGGCTAATGGTCACTTGCAAAGCTGGGCATTACCAAATTAAAAGTTAAAGTTAAGCCAAAAAGTTAATTTTACTTTTAACTTTTTAACTTATCTAGTTAATTTTTGGATTTTCATTAACTTAACTGTTAGAATATTATTAAATTTATTTTTTAATTAACTTTTTTAATTAATTTATATTTTTAAAATATGAGTTTAGTTAATTTTTTTTAAATTTTTTTGCCGTGAATTGTTTCAAGTTAAAAATGTTATATTTTTTCAATCACTGTATAGTGAAGGAAAAAATAATTTTTAATGCAATTATTTTTTAGCATAAAAATGAATGCTACCTACTTATGTTTAAACTTATAGTTTCAGTTTATCTGTACATGGCTAAACGTATGGTCTTGCTGGTATTCTGCCTGGTCGGGTTATCACGCGCCATGATTATGCGTCAACCCGACCTACACTGCGACAACATTGACAAGTATTGTGGGTCAAGGCTGGCAAACGAACTGCAAGTAATTTGCAGAGGGAAATATAATGAAGTACCAGGTGAGTTTTTAGCTTTCCAGTTTTTAATACATACAGTTCTTACAATTCTAAAACCATGGTGAAATCTTTTACCCTTGTAACGAGGACGCGAAGTGTGAACAGGTGACTCGTATGTTATATGATATCATATTAAAATGAGTGCACTCTGGGCACTATTTTCTAGCATCATTATTACCTGCCCTTATACCTTAGTACAGCATACATCTGTTTTAACCTTTGACATCTCCAACACTGATATGCCCAATAACTTTTTACAGCTGGCGAGGACAAGCTCTCTATCAGCGACCAGAGACGTTTGGGATTGTCGATGGTCATCGATGAATGCTGTACACTGCCATGCAATAGAAGAACGTTGAATATGTATAGTGCATCAGTTCCCTAATAGGTACACAACCAATACAAATAATAAATTATCAAATTGTTTGGATCCACATAGATCTGTGTCAACTAGTTTCATTCAATTACTAACATTTATGATTTGTTTTTTTTTCAGTCCATTTCTAAAAATGTCGATAACATGAAGAAAAATTGCAATCTGTAAACATATTTTTTTTTCTATAGACATGTATATTACTTTTTTTTTAAATATTAGAATTAAGCATTTTAATGATTTCGATAATATTATGTATTTTTAAATGTTAATTTTAATAATATGCAATTTAAGTACAAAAAAATAGCTGTGCGTTATCATTGTTTATCATGTTAATTTAATTCTTGTAATGGTTATACATTGGTTACACATTTGTGTGATTTATTAAATATTGAATGACTAATATAGGCTAATAATAGAAGCTCAAAATCAAATATTTTTTCAGTTAGGGATTGAAGTGAAAGTTTAGAATATTGTTCAGTGGACTGTATGAAATGTAAATGTATGGTTTTAAAATATAATGAAAATAATGCGGTTTCTTTTGCTCTTATTCATACATATACCACTAATGGCTTATAATAAATACTATTTTAATTTTAAGAACATTTGTAAGGTTGTGATTCAAATACTTGTTATAATATTATACTTTTGTAATTATATATTAGATATGTGTACCTATGATTTATTTTATTACAATATATGTGTATACGTTTTTTTTTTTATTGAAACTTATCATCATTCAGGTTTACATCTTTATGGATAAAGGAAAGTTACTTCAGCAATAATAAACGCACAGCCGAACTTATTTGAGACTTGAGTTATCGAATTGAAATTTTGAGGCTAGATTAATATTATAATGTCAAGTTCCATCAAGAAAGGATTTTTAAAATTTTGATTTTAAAGGGTTGAAATCGGCAAAAATAAATTGTTTACGAACAAATTGTATATCTATAATCTATACACATATTTTATAGCACTGAGATATGCAATCATAACTTTCTGTCAAAAATAAATAAATAAATAAATAGAAAACACATATAACTTATATTAGGTTAGGTTCTGGTTCCTAATTTTAAGTTTTTGGATTCTAGAACCGTTTTGAATTTTATTTATGTAGATTATTTAATAGGGTGAATGTACACAACATTTTTTACAACTATTATATCTTATAATGATATCAAAAGCTATTGGCCAATATTCCTATTAAATTTTGACTACAAGATCTCTGAAAGAATATAACCAAATTGCAGAAACTGTGAATAAATCGATCCTAGTAGAAAAGGTTATTATCGTTAACCACAAACATCGAAGATAGTTATAAAAAAGGGTTGTACTCCGCTGCAGTCCTTATAGATCTTACGGCAGCATATGATACAGTGTATGGCTCAATTGGCTAATCACTAATCGCCTATGGGTGACCATGCAAAATAATAAGTGGAATCATAAACAGTATGCCGAGTAACAGATTTTTCAATGTAGTTAAAGGTAATAAAAGGATTATGCAAAGAAAGCTAAATAATGTCTAGCCACAAGGCTTTGTATAAGCCCTCATACTTTTTAATTTATATATCAGTGACCTACCCAAAACAAAGTCAAATAAATTATTTACACAGCCTATATAGCTCTTCTATGTTAGGAAAAAACATACAAACTTGTGAAAAATACCTAACGGAAGACCTGAATGAATTAAATAGTTACTGTAACAAATGGAGGCTCTCGTCAAATTCAACTAAACTGAGGTACACTATTCCATCTCAACAACAAAATGCCAAGACAGGAAATAAAGGTGGTCTTTAACGAGCAACGAATAGGGTTAAGTACTAAACATATCTAGGAATACAATTGAACCGAACGTTTTCATACAGAGAACTTAACCAAGGTGGAAGCAAAGCATAAGACTCGAAACAATATAGTACATAAATTAGCTCAAATAACCTGAGGTCAGATCTAACTTTGTTAGAATATCTGCACTAGTCCTCACCTACTCAGAAACCGAGTACTGTGCACCAGTGTGAATTGAGAGCTCACACACACAAGTAAAATAGATACCCAACTAAACGCAACAATGAGACCAATCTCTGTAATAATCAAGTCAACACCAGCCTCTTGGCTACCTCATGGCTTAAACAGAAGCTTACCCAAACACAAGTACACGAATAACAAGCTTAGCTAAAGATTAATATCTCGAAAGCCTCCCTGGAAGCTGGCACAAAAATTAAATAACAAAAACCATAACCTTAACTTTTAAAGGTATTGATGAATGGAATCTAGAAAACTGACAAAAAAAAAGTTTTAGAGTTTCAACCACCTCAGAAGAAAAGGGTGACTTTTAACAGACTTAAGAACGGTTACAGAAAAACAGGAAAAATGCTGTGTAAATGGAGACTTGGAGATCACCACAATTTGTTTGCGGACATGATACTCAGACAGCCAACCACATCGTGGAAGAATGTCCAGTATGCAATATACAATGCGGAGTGAAACACCTCCATAAGACTACAACAGTGGCAAAAAACTGATTAACCAACAAGGACATTAGAATTTAAAGCAATGTAAATACAACCCAGACTTCAACACCTAATCATTAAATATACTTAACTAATTCTAACTATTTAGGTTTCTATATTTTATCAACTTACATCTTTTATTGAAGTATTTTATTGTTGTTCAATAATTTATTGTTATCTTATGCTGTTTAGTGTTGAATTAAATCATTCGATAAATAAATTAAGAACTATTACATACTTCAATACTACTTTTTGAAGAATCTGCATCAATATCTTCTTCAGGTTCTTGTTCCTTTTTTTTATAAGCAATATGCATATCATCTATCCATTCATCATAACGTACATTCCATCCTTCATAATGCACGTAATATTTCATTACTCCTTCAATATCACACACATAAATGACCTAAAAATGTATAATATTTAAGTCTTTTGATTATTTTGAACAATACTAATTTCAACATATTTCATAATATCAAAGTATTTTGGATATGGGATGATGATTAAACTCAAATTTAACCTAAGATCAATAAAATCTAATAAAAAGATCTAATAAAAAATCATTCAAGATTAAAGCTGGCAAAGCGAAAGTGAGAGAAACATGATGAATTTGATACAAATATAGTTTTAGATAGTTTTAGAGATGACTAAAATAAAGAAATTAACTTTTGAATAAGAATTGTAAACAATAAAAACAAAGTAAATCCCAAAAAATAAGCGGGTTAGTGGGTATTGCTCTGCTGTACATTAGGTGTCTAGAGAGTCACTGCAATGGATATGTAAATTTGATTCAATGTTATAAAATCATTGTATACAATAAATGATTTCAAGCTTAAAATAACTATTAAAAAAACTAGGTATGTCATAAATTAATAAAACCTTGCACACAATTTGTTAATTTACGTGTGAATATTCAATATATTGTAACTTCAAACAATCGGAAAAATGTATCTGTCTTTCCGGTAAATTTTTTTGTTAGCTGTACAAAGAACCCTGAGGGAAGTCTTGCATTAAATGTTCAAAGTTTAAAATAAATAAATAATATCTTCACAGACAATTCACCAATTTTCATGATTTTGATGAGTTTTGTCAAAGTTAAAACTTTAGAACCTCATTAAAAATTTTTTTTTTTTTGATTTCCACTAACAACTTATAAAGGAATGTTGTATTACATTTTTGATTTTTTACAGGACAAAAATTTTTTTACTGGCAATAATTTGAAAAAAACTAATAAGACTCTGAGTGTTCTTATGCAGTTATGCCTATAAAAAGCTCAAAAAGGAAACACAATAAATTGCTCACATTAAGATTTTCTAAAAATTGCATGTGTCTAGTCATTTTCTTTAAGGTTAAGCTAAAAAAAATTGATTTTTTTGAAAACTGTTTGCGAAAAAATCTAGATTTTTCATTAATTGTTGATTTGTTTATCTTTTTTTATTATCCCAAAAGGTGATGACGGACATAAATAAAAACCAACACATCATGGTTAAAACAAAACATTCATCGCTCCACTCAGAATCTAAAATATACTATCACTATTAAGTAAAAGTTACATCAAACTCTAACATTGTAAAAGAAACACTGATTTATTTATTCATAATATTTATAAGTTATAGGTTAACCTAATAAATAGTAACAAATGATCAATAAATAATTAATTTTTTTTACGCATATAGTTTGTTTAAAATGATTAAAAATAAAATTTTTTTATTTTGCTTAAGTTGAATAAATTCATAATATTTTTGTAAAACAATAAATACATTTTTTTAAGTATTTAAATAACTTACTTTTGCATCATAAGTTATGTCACCATAGTAAACAACTAAATTATCTCCAACGACCACGGATGAATCTTTATCAAATGGTACATTTTCTATGTTACTAAATTAACAAAAACATTATACCAATATTAAATAATATAAAATATGTAGAACTGATTTATATTATATTATAGTTTATAAACATACATAGATGTAGAAATTGTACCATTTGAAGACACTTTCTCCTCTTTATCGTCCTTTTTCTTTCTCAGGGTTTTCTTCTTTTCAGTTACGTCTTTCTTTTTAATTTTACCTAGATTTTCTATAAGGAGTCCAGGCAGTGTCGGCTGTAGAACAGAAGCACTGTCAGCAAGATCACTTAATATCGATGCTCTCCTTGATTCAGAGCGTAAATGTATATTAGTCAGCTAAAATAATAAAACAAAAAATAGTTTTTAAAAACTTATCTTAATCAATATTAAAAATCATAAGTTAAGATTTTATTTTCAAAACCAAACTACATTTAGGAACTATACCAAAAATATCTAGCGCCTATTAAAATGAAATGGAATATAATAGTTATAAAATGAAGTACATTATCATTAATCTTCTTTCATAAATTTAAGTTAAATATAATCGCGATTTCAGAAAAATAACAAATTTGGTATAGTTTTTGTTTTGTATGATTAAATAAATACAGAAAATGCGTACATTGAATTTAAAGTAAGTCAATCAATAAGTCATCATTGTTAAAATCCAAATTAAAAAATTAAAGAATATCACTTATTATTTTTACTGTATTACCCAGTACAAATTTAAATTCTTAACTAAATTAATTAATAAAAAGCATAATATATAACAATGTTATATTTTACTTTTGGTACTTCTTCGTATAGTTTTTCTTTATTTGAAACATGGGTATAAGAAATTCCTCTATTCAATTTTTTGAATGACATATCTTCAAAATAAGTTTTAACTTGTTCTTTGATTAATCTTCTTTTTTTCATATTAGTTTTTAGTATTGATTTTCCATGTACATTTATTTTATACATTTTATTTTCTACTTTTTTATCTCCAATGATTTGATTATCGTCTACTGCATCAGAATCCATCTCTTTTT